AGAGCACTACAGCAAAAATGAATTTATTAGATTTTGGTTGGTGCTTTGAGATCCTCAGAATTCCTGTACTGTGAGATATGTGCTAACACATTGGCACCAGAGCTGTTGGGCAAAGAAAGAAAATTATATGAGGTAGGAAATGGGTGGGTGCTACTGTGAAATGACTGCTTTTGGGACTGATAAGTCTATTTATTCATATAACAACCATCAAAGCTTGGGCTCCTCATTGTACAAGACTGACATAAACGCAATGACAGCAACGCCGAAATCGGGTTATAGAGCCAGCTGATGTCCACACTGCATACTATTAATAGTGACTCCTTTGCTGTCTTCCAGGTGTTGCTGGAAAGCCGGGCTCGCTTGGTTTGCCGGGAATGCCTGGTCGGAGCGTGGGTGTTGGATACACTTTAGTGAAGCACAGTCAGTCAGACCAAATCCCACCTTGTCCCATAGGAATGAATAAGCTCTGGGACGGCTACAGCTTATTGTACGTGGAGGGGCAGGAAAAGTCACACAACCAGGATCTTGGTGAGTTGGCGGAATTCTCTCAGGCATAGACAATGTAGGCCAAAATCCTGTTTCAAATGCACAATCTTCATTGGTGCCACAGGCGGTTGTAATAGAGGTGGTGGAAGTCTGCGTGGCCAGAATCTGTACTGGGAGCAGTGTCGCTTGTGCCATCCTCCGCCACTCAGGTCTGGTGTGTATGAGTTGGAGTATTGGGCAGATGCTTGATATGACCACTTCTCCAATTTTTCCAGGTTTTGCTGGCTCCTGTTTGCCTCGCTTCAGCACCATGCCTTTTATTTACTGCAACATCAATGAAGTGTGCTACTATGCCAGCCGAAATGACAAGTCCTACTGGCTCTCCACCACTGCTCCTATCCCCATGATGCCAGTGGACAGTGTTCAGATCCCACAGTACATCAGTCGTTGCTCAGTGTGTGAAGCTCCTTCCCAGGCTGTGGCTGTGCACAGCCAGGACATCACCATCCCACAGTGTCCCCTTGGTTGGCGCAGCCTATGGATAGGTTATTCCTTCCTTATGGTAAGGGTACTATGGCTAATGCAAAGGCAGCTTTAAACATTTCTAGATATGCTTTTTGATTAGGTGACTGGGACTGTATTTTATGAGTTGCTTACAGGAAATGAGAGCACTGTAGCTTCTCGCCCTAGTGCATTTATTTGTTATCAGCTGGCCTGCTGTAGGCTTTCTGAGTTTGTTCCTATTTAGCTGGCCTTCTCACCTGTACTGCTCAAGTTCAGGAGTAACACTGATGCAGTAGTTCTGTATTGCCACAGATATTCTTTGTTCTTCAAACCTTTAAATGTGGAGATGCTAATTAAGCTACAGCATCGTCTTAATCCTCTCTTCAGTGGAAAAAGTAAAACGATTTCTATTGCACTCTCCTAGAAGCTCATTAGTGTAAGATTGTTAGAAAGTATGAAGTCAGCATTATTGTTTCAAAATTTTTTCCAAAGCTGGTTTTCCATTATAGCAGGCTTGTATATTCAGCCTAAGTACATTCCTTTGCTTCTTCACCTCTAGCCCGGACTCAAAAGACAGATAGATGTAGCCACGGTATCATTTTGGTTGCCTGTTTTACTCCTTTTAACAATGGAACTGAAGGACTCCTCTGTTTACCTCCCATTCTGTTCCTCTGAACTCATTTTAGTTGACATTTTCATTTCAGCATACTGCAGCTGGTGCAGAAGGTGGAGGTCAGTCCCTTGTCTCACCTGGTTCTTGCCTGGAGGATTTCCGTGCTACTCCATTCATCGAATGCAACGGTGCTAGGGGAACGTGCCATTACTTTGCAAACAAATACAGCTTCTGGCTGACGACTGTTGAACAGTCACAGCAGTTTGTCAGTGCTCCTCCCTCCGAAACTCTGAAAGCCGGACAGCTTCGAACAAGGGTCAGCCGTTGCCAAGTGTGCATGAAGAACTTGTAGTAACAAAAATGAAATAACGTTAACGGTCTTTTTTACCCAACGCTAGACATCACTGATGTGAAGAAGGATAAATTCATAAACCTGTTTTGTGTGTGGTTGATGGGTGAATCAAAACAGCAAGAATTCTACAAAAACTGAGTGCCAAGTCCAGGAGTTTGCCCACGGAGGAGGAGAAGACCAGTGCTCTGAAACCTCTTTTCTTTTTTTTTAGTGGAACACGGTGCTATGCTTTTACTTCAATAGGGTTTTTTTCCCCTCATTTATGGCTACCTCAGAGATTCTCTGTGAGTTCCTTATTCAGACTGGAGTAACTGATGTCTCTCGTTACACCACTCCCCTGTCCGAGGCACGTGCCAATCATCAACAAGAGAGACAAAGTTATGCTTTATTAGTGTCTTTGCAAGCAGTATTTGGTCTAGTGTTAAGGGAGTGAAGACTCATCCTCCTATGAAATACAGAGCTAACTAAAATTTATCAGTGTATTGTAGGTGACTTAGAAACACTAAGCACTAATGGTTGATAACCAACTTCCTTAGGAAGACTCAAAGATCAATTTGGTTTGCTTTGCCTATTAAAGAGATGGGACATTCTTTCTTTCAGTGACAGGTAACCAATTCTCATCCAGACTCTCATCCACGGTGACTTTAAAGACTACCCCAGTGAAATATGCAACATCATTGATGTGAAGATGAATCCAAAACCCCTCTGGTGTTTTTCATAGCTTTCTGTTGAAATATATTCCAGGTAAAATGTCTGCCTCAAGGTCTGTGCTTATCTCCTTGCAGTCAAATGATGTGCAGCCACCAGAAACATTTCATTACTATGAAGGTAAATTTCCTTTCTGAGGTAGCTTTGGCACACTTGTTGCGTAATTATTCGAGCTGTGTGTATTTGAAAAGTAGAGGCTTTACTAGATAGCATGCAGGCTTACGCAAGCACAGAAGCAAGTGGTTATAGGTTGTACATCTTTTACTTCTACAGTCACGATGTGTTGTGTACTTCTTCCTCTGGGCTTTTTTTCTGTTAGTTCAAAAAATTGTATATCTAGTGTATGCACTGTTAACTAGTCACACTTTCCTTCAGGGCATAATTAAAGAGAAGTGCCACTAATTGTATTATCCTTGTATATTCTGAGGGAAAGCCATGAAAAAGATATGGTAATATATAGATAATGAATTCATTTAGTTGGGTTAAAGTTATTATTATCAATCTCTCTAGAGTGACACATATTAAATCCCTATACATTGACATTCCAGGACATTTGAAAGAAGTGCCTTGCAAATACAGTCACATTGGTTCAAAAATCTTAAAGACAAAATTATTATTAATGCAAAACTGAGACATTATTTTACAGTATTATTTCTTTACTAGGCTCTAGCTCTATCCAGCAAAGTACTTAAGAACATGCTTACTTTTAAGCAGGTAACATTTTTACCTTTAATGATTATTTACATGCATAATACAATATCATCTTCCTAGATCAGGGTCAGAGAGTTCTGTGTGTTCCAGAGTTGAACCACATGGGAGAGGAGTGGGGAATTTGTGAAGAACAGTTTAGTCTTTCATTTAACTTAGTCCTAATTGTGAAAATACACCCAAACTGCTTTGGGTGTATTTTGCAAATATCTTTAAGGCATTTTAACAGTCCCAAGTGGCAACCCTTTTATGCAGAACATCTGATCTACTGCTTAGCTGTCCCAGCACAGACAAATCGTACTGTATTTACATCTTGGGTTATGCAAATACAACTTTAAAACACTCTGTGCACGCAGTGAAGCTCACTACTTTTTGAAAATTTGCGGAAATAACTGGCAAACTACAATGAATTTTTCAGCCCTTGTGCTCCCACAGTGCTATAAAAAGGGCTGTCCATCAGGTGGTGTGTCTACAGGGACTTGGTTGTATTTCTGAACATGGAAACATGCAAATACAATTGATTTTTTTTTCCAGGCATTTTAAGCACCAGTGTCTTTAGGGAACGGCTACGTTGCGGTAACCTGGCCCTACCGCTGTCAGCGTCCGAACCTCCACCACGTTCCCCAAGCCCAGCCGTTTCCCGCGCTGTTTACACGTACGCCGTTCTCTGTTGGGTACAGGGGCTGGCGGTTCCAACCCCCAGCCATTCTTCCCTCCGCCCCATTTTCATAAACCTGTTTACCCCCACCAAGAACACTTCTTCGAGAGGTCTGCAGGGCCAAGGCCTCCTCCCTGCACAGCAGTTACCTCACAGCTAAGAGCTATGTGGGGAATAAGTAAGCTGTACTCCAGGGATTGATTGGGTTTTTTTTTAAATTATTTTTATTTTTTAACTTGGGTGCTTCCTTTTTTTTTTTTTTTAGCAATTACTGCTCAAGACTGAGCATTTCAGAGCAAAGGCTTCATTATCATTTTTGTATGTGGGTAGGAGAGGGCTACAAGTGCTCAACAAGCAGTTAAACAATAAGAATTAATGTTTTGGTTTTTTTAAAAAAAAAAAAAAGCATGCAGCTAATCTGTGGAGAAGGGAAGAAAATTGTATTTTTTCTAAGTGTATAGTTTCCAAACTGTGGTTAATAAACACTGAAGGCAGACAAGATGAAATATGATCTTGTTAGCTATTTTCTTGGAAATCATGCTGGCCCTGATCAAGAACTGCAAGTGAGAGGAGACAGCATTCAGTGTTTCTCTACGTTGTCATTTATTGGTGGCGATGAAACTGTGCGATTCGTGTTAGTTACACTATCGTGACAAAGTGACCACAGTGGGGACTGTCCGATAGTAAAAAGGAACTTTATAATGGATTAAAAGATCTTTGCCTTTAATTATTCTGAGCTGTTTTCCTTACAGCTGCTAGAGAAACACTCTGCCTTAGGAATAAAACTGCACAGGCTGTTCTGATAAAGCTGTAGAATTAAGGCACTTCTACCAAAACAGATTTCAAAAGGCAACAAGTCAAAAAACAACAATTAAGTAGTTTGCATATGCCTATATATTAAGTTTCAAGATAACCTGGTTTATATTTAGTTCACACCAACAAATTAACAAAATATAGCAGCATACAACCTATGAAAAGCTTAAGAAATTTATTAGATGCACGGATAAAGTGCTGTAACAGAGAAACTTGTGTAAATCTTTTTTAAAATAAATAAGGTACAGTTAAACCACCTTTGACTCATTTTAGCTCCAAAAGAAAAGTCAGCCTAAGTTCTAATGATCTGAATTTTAAGGTCAAGGTGAAATATAACTATAACAGTGGTTGTGATCTGTATCAACTATTTGAGTCTCCTGTTCCTCTTGAGGGTTCCCAGAAACAGGAAGGCTATTGCAAAATGTATACATTAGACATAGTTCCTTTTACAGAAACATTTTTGTAATAAAGTATGGTTGCTCAAATACATGTTAAAATATTTAACAAGGAAACAATTTGCTTCTGATCCAGTCGATCTTTTAAACAAGACAATGTATTTTCCTACGATGCAGCCGACAGGAGGGAGCAGAAGTAAACATCCTCCTTAATTGAAGACTGTTTTGCTTTAAGAACTAAACTATTGCATTATATGAGAGCAAGAAATACCCATTTGGTGTTATCCCTTTCTCCAACCCCCAGTGTCATACTTACTTTTGCCTTAATCTCAAAGGTCCATTTGTCTTCAGATAAGACACATCATAACAAGAGGTTCCCTTTAAGGGTCATCTATTAAAAGATCTTTTACTGCCTTTCCATCTGGGGAAGCTCTTTGACAGCAGGAACTGTCACATTGGAGTTTTGGATGCTACTAGGTTTTTGTGCTCTGTTATCTGTAATTTCAGGCACTTTGGGGCTAACATGGCTGTTTGATTTAAGTCAATGCAATAATGTTAGCGATACGTTCCATACTCAGAGGGTCACCGCAGTTTCCTTCAGACACTCAGGATTTCAAATTCTTCTTCCATTTCAAATAGCTTGTCAGTAGATTCAATGAGTTCTGGGGAAAAAAAAAAATAATTAAACAATTCAGAATCTAAAGACATGCCTGATTTTGTTTATTTAAAAACACAAACAAAACTCCCTCTTTTCTGCAATGTGTCCTTCAAAGTATTTTCAAAGATTAAAAAAAATAGATAGGTATATATCTAGCAATTGTTATGTGGCCTGTTTGGATAACTGTCTTGATATTCTATAAGAAAAAGGCAATTAATCACGTGGTGGTTGCGTGACACTTAGGAAGGCGTGGGTATTCCACCTGTGATTAGTCTTCCGTTCGCTAACGAGGAACGCCCCGCCACACGACAGTGCTGGCGGTCGGTACTGCACCTGCTCCTGTAGTTGTCACTTCTGGCTTTGCTGGCGGTACGAAAGGAGGCCAGTGTGGCGGATGCTTCTGGACCAGCTCAAACATCCGTAGGCTCTGTTGCTTTAGAATCTCCTGAGGACAAAATACTTTCATTTTAAAATGAGAATTTCAAGAGAACATTCAAACATGAAAAACGGCTGCGTAATGAAAAACGTTTTAAATTATGTACACCTCAAAAACAGAAGGCTTTATGCAGACATACAGTGAAAACCTCTTATTTCAAGTACCTGCCGTTATGAATCACTGCTTCACGGATCTCTCTAACATTTTCCTAGTTGAAAACACACCTGGAAGACAGATCTCTTGAACTGTCCTACAAGTTACCAGTGTGTTGTAACTAAGTTGGATATCCATATGTGTGTAATTTTGTTTACACGTAGCAAACACATAAAGAACATACAGTATTTTCTGCCTTGTGAAAGAAAATTACTTGCACGGACCTCTCCGAGTTCAAGTTTTCTGTTGATCAATGGGAACAAAAGACAGATCTATCAGCGCCAAAAAAACAACCGATTTTGAAGGGTAGGTTTTGATCAGAAGAAACAAGCTATTATTGAAGCCAAATTCCACTCTTCTTCAAGCTACAGGAGAGCCTGTATTTCAGTTATTTACAAACTGTCTTTCTTAGCCTTTTTTTTAATTATTTAAATAAATGCGTTTAGGGGTTGATGTTACTTCACACTTCTGTTGCTTAGTATCCAACTGCACGCGGAAATGTCCTAAAGCCCTTCTCCTGTGGCAGCAAGCACCTTTATGTGTGTCCTGCAGGAGCTGGAAGGATTCAGCACTTAGAGAATCAGATCTTTTGTGGTACCAGGGACTAACAGTCTTAATTAGAACCCAAAATAATGTATTATGTCAAACAATAAAAAAGGATCAGGAAGCAGGTAAGTAAATAAGTTGCTATGACATGGCAGTTAAAACTTATTTTTAACATTCATTTCTCAGTAAATGACTTAAGTTTCAGCCAGTAACATAGTAGTGCTAAAAACCCAAAAACTTTAATAAGGGTATGTATTCACACCCATTTTCCAAGTGGCAGGGTTCATGGTTGTCAGAATGTTGAACAAGCTCCAATTAGCAGTTCAGTGGTATTGCCTTACCCTGAAGCATTTGTGCGTCCTGCGCTATGGCTCATTTAAGTTGCATGCAGAGAAAGATGTAATGGGAATTCCCATTAAAAAACCAAAAGTACACGTTATTTTGTACAGAGCGAAGAAAGACAGTATTATTACCTTTTGTACAAGACTACACCAGTTATCAAAATCACATTCTTCTTTGCAAAAGAAGCCCTAAGGGAAAAATACAGCCAGTAGTAGTGTGAAGTAGTAACAGTACGTCAGTGCGTGAAGGAGGCATTGTTTAAAGCTTGAGAAACATCATGACATTAATCAAGTGACAATCACCCACAACCCAACCAAAGGATCCTGCCACAGGATCAGATCTAATTTCTTCAGCTACCACAGTATTTAGGATGTATGCTGAATGGCTTCTACAAGTAATTCCATTTAAAGATTCATAGATTACGATACAAAATAAGTTAAGTAACTTGTCCAGAGCGACCACGCATATATGGTAGTGATGGAATAAAATCAGGAAACCTGATTCAGTTCCTTGCTTTGACCTTCAAAATATTTTTTGCAAAAGGTAAATGCTGCTCAGTGAAGAAAATCAATTAGCTCCCTAAGTTACAAACAGCCAGTTCCCTGCCTGACCCAAGATGAATGTATCCTATGCAGTTACTATATAAACTACCACGTGCTGAATTTTAGATCGCAGAAGACTGCCCTGTGATCTTGATTCTGCTCAAGGAAATGCATCACCACCCTTCTCAATATACAGAGCTGTTACTTTGAAATAAAGCATATGCATCTCTTATTTCCTAACACCTACTAAAGCTACTGAAGGGTCCAAATTCATGATCTTCATTCTGTGTGGGGCTTGCTGGCAGTGGAAGCTCTGGTCATCAACTGTGCCATTTTCTTCCCAGTCTACAAAACTCTGAGTGGTGTGAGGGTCCAAATAGATCAGCTCGTTGCCTGTATGGGTAAAATCCGTATGTTGGTAATAAGCAAGCGACTTTCATAAGCACTTATTCCACCCAGACTTATAAAACAGAAATTAGATTATCATCACAATATCTAGACTTTCTAGCCAGGGAGTCTGTAAGAGCACTGAAAGGTCAGACACAACAGTTTCCTACAGGAGAGTTGGTATAATTTTCTATTGCGACCTATCACTGTAGATGTTTTGGTTGGTTTGTTCTACCTGTGTCACACGCATGCCTTTTTCTACGTGAGGTCCAGTACATTTTTAAAAATGTCAACTGTTGTAATCCCTAACATTCCACAGATCAAAAAGTACCGGATGACCACCAATGCAACTGGTAATCCCATTAGGCATTCATTCAGAAATTAGAACAAAGAGTTCATGTTTTACAAAAGGAAGAAAATATCCATTAAATTGTGGACCAAACTGGAGTGCAATCTGAAGACTGAATCTAGTATTAACTATTGCTTTCATTAATTAATGGAAGAAGGTGAAAAAGATACTACTGTCAGAAAAAGTTTGAAATATAAGAAAATAATTGAAGAAAACTGTGAAGTAAAAGAGTAAAACAAGATACCCTTCATCAGGAAGTATTAATGATTAGGAAAAAATTAGTATTTTAGCAGCAGTGACATCTGGCACTTGTCAAATGCTATCAACTATTCTTAGTGTGTCGTTCTTGCTTATATCATTACTTATTTTTACATCAAGCTTTGCTGCTACTTTTCCATTCCTGTAAGGGTGATACCACACTGCTCCTGAAGTATTTGAGGTTATGTTTCTTCATTTTTTCTACTCTATTCTCATGCCTAAACTGCTTACTATTTCCCCTTCCAAAACAAAACCACCTTTCTCTTTAGATTATATATATATTTGGAATAAGTTTCTTTTTTCCTTACCTAAAAATCCTATGAAATAATAGGCATTATTTGGTTTCCCTCCTAATGCTCCCAAAGACTGTGGCATCTTAAAGCATTCCTAGGAGTTCAAAGAGAGAAAAATCAAATTGTAGTTGATTTGTTTATTAATAATAGATACCTGAACTTATTTCACAATAACAAACAAGTCACTGAAAAAAACCTTACTTTAAACGCATCAATATATACTGGATTTATATGATTTATCCCTAGCCGTAGAGGTATAATAAGCAAGAGGGGCTTCCAGCCTGTGCAGAATCCTGCTGTGTTCTTATTTCGGGCAAGAGCACTTCTGTGCAGGTGTGCACTGCTGTGGGCCACGCCGCTGCTCTGGGGAGGGGACCAGCACATTTTCTCTGTGGGAATAAAAATGGAAATCAGTGAATGCACAAAGGAACACAGAGCAGATCTTCCTCTCAATCTTTGCTACTTTGCCAGACATCTTCACAGAGCTCCTGTTTTAAGACAAAAGGAGCAGGGCAGGGAAAGCTAACTATTTAGTAGAAGTTATTCTAGCAGGCAGTGTGCTGGCATGTTAGTGAGAAACGAGCTAAATGACTCAGGGGGTGAAAATTAAAGACTGAAGTTACATTTACTACTAGCATTATTAGTAGTCAAGCTTTGCCCATCAAACGCCAGGGAAATGAAATGGCAGAGATGATAGCATTAGAAACTCTTCAGGGAACTCCTCGCTTCCAATGATGTGTACGTAAAATAAGCCAAAGTAGGGACTAAAGTAGAAACAGGCTGTGGCTAAATACTGCTGGTAAACTCGCCTTTCTTACAGCTGAAAACGAAGCCTGGCCACGTGCTTCTCTAGCATCTGCCCCTGGTTTCTCTTTGGCCTGACAAAAGCACATCTCTTTGGTAAACTCTGTATTAAAAACAGTTCTCTCTATTTCTACACGCTGCAACTTCATTCCATTTCTGGGGTAGGAGTTTAGATAGCACAGACCAAACTCTCTCTTCTCCCAGACTGCATGGCACGTAAGCTGGCCACCAAAACGGCCTACATCGTTCTGCGCTAGCTTTCGTTTTGGACACCCAAAACGGGACTTTGCATTTCCTTTATTCCTTTTCTTACCCTGGGAACAAGTAGGGATGGCCCAAAAGTATTTTGTTTGTATTTAGGAACAAATAAGAAAGTGGAGTCAAACCAAAAACTGTAACCAGAAAACTAGTATTTCACTTACTGATGTCTTCAATGACCACCGTGTTGTCCATAGATACATAAACTGCTAATGAATTCCATTCATCAAATAAGGCAAGCTTCCTAGAAAACATTAAGGTAGTAATTTATATAAACTAATTAGGACCATGAGGGTAGCTTTTCGTTCGGGACAATTAGATGATTCTTGAGTAAAAAAAATTAAATTGTTTCTTTGGAAAAACCTATTTGTTGGATTTTTTTTAAGACTCCATGGAACAAAAAGACAACTTTGGATATTTACTGTTTAATATATTTTGAAAAATAAATACTGAGTGGTACCAGGAAAAGCGCACACACTCTGCCATGTGAAAACTGTTTTGTCCTTTTGCCAAATGCAGCAATGGTAACAGCTCAACCACGTAATTAGGTTTATTACTTTTTATTGCATTCAACAGGCTCCGCAATGGGATCCTGCCCATTGTGCCTGGCATTGTCTAGAGAAGGAAGAAAATTCCTGTGCCAGTTTTGCACATCACTTTTTGCTTAAGAAGTTCCACTAAATTCAGTGGAACTACTGTGCACGTGTGGACAAGCAGACTCGGCATTAAAAGCCAAATCAGCTACAGGTTTTCGGCACCCAAAAGCTAGGAGGGAGGCATTATAGCACACAGATTTCTGTCCACTTGTGTGAAATCCAAAATTCTGGGGAAGGGAACTATACTCTTAAGCTGCACAGGCAGAGTCAGCTGCCTAAATTAAGCCAGAAAAACCTGTATGGGAGCACTAAGCCATGAAGAATTTGTAAGTGAAAAGAGCTGGAGGCCAGGGCATGCTTTAGCTCCTCTCTCTCTCTCTCTCTCCCCCTCCCCAGAATACGTGTCTGTCCCAGGGCTGCAAAGAATTGCTGCTGAGCACAGGGGACTTGCAGTCTAGCCTCCACTTGAGATGTGTGGCACTTCCACCTATCCCTCAGAAACAAAGCCAAGTCAGCTCTTTTAAGTGCGGCTTCCAGATTAGGAGGAGCTGCTCATGTTTTCTGGTAAAACCCTGGCCCAGGTTGCCCAGAGAGGTGGTAGATGCCCCATCCCCAGACACTTTCAAGGTCAGGTTGGACAGGGCTCTGAGCAACCCGATCTAGTTGAAGATGTCCCTGCTCATTGCAGGGGGGTTGGACTAGATGACCGTAAAAGGTCCCTTCCAACCCAAAGAGTCTATGTTTCTATGTTTTATACAGCAGCCTTCAGGCAGAACTGCAGCTCAGACAGTGAGGAATTGCAGTTCAGTTGCCGCCTTGGCCTGGATGGCTTCATGCTGATGTTTCATACCACCGCTCCGATCTGCATGGTGGCGTTCCTGTCCTGCCAAAGCTGTGCCATTTCGTGGAAACGAATACGTACCTCTGGTGCTTACTGGCTGGGGCACGTAGACAGCATAGCAGGAGAGACCTTTTTGCAGGTCTTCCCCAGGCTCTTGGTATATTAAAATTTAGAACTCGCCCCATCCCATCTCAGTACCTGCCACCAGGCTACAGCATCATGGTCTGTGCTGTACTTGCAAACACGTGGCATATATATTCCTGATTCTGAGAGAGGCAGAGCAGCCTTTAAAGCTGTATCTTGGGCCTTATCTTGGTCTCTGCGTGCAGCCGCCCCAGGGGAGCGCCTTCTGAACGAGCTAGTGCCATTTCACTTACTTCAGTACTTGAGCAACTGTATTTGGTCCAAACCATTCTCCAATTGATTTCCCCTCTCCAACACCCATCTGTGCTGTTTTTATGAGAGAAAACACACACACAGGAAAAAAAAAGACCACAGAGAATCTGGTCACAATATATGTTAAATAGCATGACCTACTAATATTTTTACATACATTCTAGAGCAATTACAAACTGTATTTAGCAACTACAGTTATTTTCTCAATCTATGCTCTTTTCAAATCCTAATGACTACTAGTTCCTTTACAAAAAGTTTCTAAACTGTAATGAGAATTAAAAATACGAGTGTACTTTATCACAAATTACAGCAATAAGTTTCGTGACTATCAACGCTGGTACCCAAGGCTTACATACTTTATCAGGAGCTAGATTCCAGTATTCAGATTTATTTAGGTGTCAGCGAATAACATTTCTGAAGTATTATACTTTGTACCCATTTGCATGCATTTTTATTTATGTTATATAAATCGTCTTCATAATCAACTTTTAAAAAATTTTAATTAACATATTTCAAATTAGAAAGTTTCCACCCAGTAGGAATTTCAGTGGGAAAAAAACAGTTCTTACCCATTTGGTGGATGGAATAACAGCAATCTTTTCTATCTAGAAAGCACCGTAAGATTCTATGGTATTCTTCTGGTTGCTTTTTGTGTTTTTCCCATTGCCAATCTTACAGGAAAGAGTTATACAGATTAAAAAATAATGTTTCCATCATCCTGATCAAATTTCTAGATAGTAGAAAGACATACAATGAGATGTTAAAAGACTAATGTACAATTAATCTCTAATATTTACATTTTCTTTAGAGTTCCCAGAAGTCGCAGCTTGTCATTTATAATCAAGCTGTCCTCTATCATCACAGGCTAGACTGTGAAAACTGGCAAAATAAAATAAAAATGTCAACTGCAAATATATTCTAAGCGATCACCGCTGAGAACTGATAGCTGGTGCCGTATGTGAGCTTCCAGGATTGTCTATAACTATAAGCTCTGTTTAGATTTTGTTAGATCTGTAAGCATACATCAGATAATGATATAAGATCCATAAAGCAAAGTCCAAACACAGCGCTGGCCCTCTCCCACAGCAAAATCCAAAACACAGCTTTGCCATGTACACTCTTGCTTCTAACATAAGGTAGTTACCTCCCCTCTGCTGACAGAGGAGCACATACACAGGGCTGATACTATGAAGTAGCTACATACTACAAGTCCAGATTCTCATTTTTCCTCAGGTAATTTGCTTGTTTGCCTATTCCTTCAGTTAAATCTTTGCACCTCCGTTCTGTGGATTCAGTTATTCAAGTGGATAAATCCACAAAGCATGCTGCCACAGAAACCAGAGCACAACCGCATAAGGATTACGGAACTAACCACAGTAATTTAATTGATACAGCAGCTACACATAGACCAGACCTATGATTCTTACCTGTGACCCTGGGATGTGAGGTGTGGATACAGGCTTAAGAGCCTGTACTAATGGGTTCTGCTGCGGGGTTGGGACCTCAGGCTGGTGACCGGCGAGTAGTGTGTGAAGTACTTTGTATGATGTCTGTCACTATGTCACTATTCACACAGTCACTGTGTGCAAATGTTTGGTGGCTATGTAAGCAATGAAGAGAAGGGCAAGAACTCAGACTCATGGTGGGAGGTTTTCCCTTGGCCTCAACTTGGGTATTCCTCAGCAAGATGTATAAAATAATGACAATGGGATTCCCTATTTGTCCTCCCTCTACTTCCACTGCTCTGCTTAAGTCTGGCGTGATTTCACCCTGTCAGACAAGAATAATTCACTAGTAACTTCTATCAGGGCATCAAAGAAAGTGTCATTAATAGATTTAGGGTTTGTGCTTTTATGGAAAACTACAACAAAAATTAAACGGTCTCCAAACACCACAGAAGGTCACTCAGCAACAGCACTCACCTCTTCCTAAATGTCTGCAGATCAGTGCTTGTGCCAGCATCATCTGCCCACAGCGCAGCATACAGCCCCAGCCAGCATCAGACGAAGGACCAGTGCCTCCTAGTAAAAAAGTCCATGACAATCAACATGGGCTTTAAACTGAGTGCAGCGTCAGAGAGAATGTCAGAGTTAAAACCTCTAACAACTGTCCTATGGATAAAAGGCACTGGGCAAGACCTCTTCTTTCCATATTGCTGGTCTGACTTCACTGCTTGCTCTACAAACATGAAGACCTAGTTACATGCAGGCACAAGTAAACACAGCTTTTAATAGCTTTAATATCTTGTTTGCAGAAACAGTTAAAACAATGCTCAAAGTGTTCTAATACTGTAAAAATCATTTTTCAGTCCATGATAACATCACTAATCCTGCTATCTATTTTATAACAAGGCAGCTGTTCTGCTCCATACTCACCAATAGGCGAAAACTTTCTTCTGTATGTAAACCAGAGACGACCACGTATATCCAACAATAACTTAGATTTGTCTGGAATATTTTTAAAAGAAAAGAAATTATTAAAACAAACGTTTAAAATGGAAAAATTCTAATTTCCCATGTACAGTCAATATATAAAGTGCATGGAAGACTCCTGCTTGCTTTTACATACAAGATCCTTAAAACATTTTTTAGCTGTTTAAACATGGAGAGCTTTTGTAGACTGCTAACTGAAGTTAGGATGAAGTAATTATTGGCCAATGAAGTGTTTGGAACGAATATGCCCAGATTGAATGAAACAACTATGGAGAACTATGTCCTCAGGAAAGAACTGGTAGAACAAGTTAAGAAAGGTGAAGAATTTCTACATGCAAACCAACATGGGACTATTGTCATCAAAATACAGTACGTGCCCTAGATTAATTCTATTATTAATTTTTACTGTTATTATTCTTTTTAAATATAATTTTAGGTGCAAACAACAGGCTGCAGACAGCATCCCTCAAGGGATATTAACATTAGTAGTACTGAACATTCCCCAGAAGTTAGGTTTTAGCTATTTCCAAGGCATTTGATGTTGAGAAGTGACCAGCCTCATACCTGACTAGCCTTTGCTACAAGTATGATCTCTTTGCATGAATTATGGTAGAAAGTACATTGGTAAACTTCTGGTTTCATCTTAGGATGAATACTGCTGCTTATAGTCGGTTTCTTATTGATGGAATAAAAGAAATTTCTCTCATGAGAAATGAGACATTTAGAGAAGGCAAGGAAATCAGGAGCTGCTGCTGCCTGTGAATCTATGAATGCCATATTTTACAGATGAATTTTCGTACCAAAAATACCTGTGTTTAGGTGGTGTTGCCTTCCTAGAATCCACACTGGTTCATCAGTTTCTGGAAATTCTTCTAAGTAGTCTGACAAAATAGTGATCTGGTTTTCATACCTAGACAAAACTGAACAGGAATACACAAAATTCAAACTCCATTTTTGTCCCTTTGTTCTTTGATGCACAACTTTGGGTTCTTAGACTGAACTAGTTGTAGCTAGTCTTTGCAGCCTTTGGGTCCTCTGAATGGTGCTGCCTGTTGCGTTTACTCTTTTCCTTTAACACGCTGTTCTGACGCTGAAATACCCAATGTCTTGGCTGTTTTTTATTTTGGTCCCCGCTGAGTGCTGAGAGAATAATGTGGCTGACACCTTGATTACAAGCAGTCTGGCTGAAGCCAGTAGCAGAAGTTCAGGATGACCCCAGTAAGATTTGATTCAAGGCAATGAGGAAAGGGGAAAAACAATTCAGGCATCAGAGCATATGTGCCCATGCTCCATCTTAAATGTGCAAATACTGCCACTCACAGCGATTATGTCCTCGTGCTTAATGGGAAGCATGTGAAAAGCGTTAGCAAGACTGGGGTTTACTTTCCTAGCTGGAGATTTGAAACACTTCAAAATAAAAGATGTATTAATGTTATTCAATGCTAGACCTATTCACTGTAAAATAACAAATGATAATTAATACTACTTAAAGAAGACCATTCAATCAATTTTTAGATAATTAATTAAGGCAGGGTTTGTTGGAAGAGGAAAACGGGCCTTCACGTGCAAAAATGAATGTCAAATAATTTCGTTTGCATATCAACCTTAAGGAATACGCTGCCAAAAAATCAGAAGTTGAAGGCAAAAGCAAACGATTATACCTGTACTCTTCAAGTAAGTGCACATACATAGAGTATAAAGAATGAATAATTATCAGGTAAATATATTTAAAAAACAAACATTTTATGTAAAAATAGACATTATAGTAAGCAGAAGACAAAGCGAGCAGCACCGCGCTCCGACCGGGGCGCCCAGGGCCGGTGCTGCCAAGCCCTGGAGATAGCCCTCCTCCGCGTCCCAGCGCAGCGGCGGTGAAGGCACAGGGTGAACTTCTCCCTGCAGACCGTGGACGGAGCAGAAGAACCTCTCACGCCGCGCTCTGCCCTCTCCGGCGGAAAACTCGCCCCGCGTTGCCCTCGCAGAAGAAACGGCCTCCTTTGGAGCCCAAGGACTGAAAAGACGCCCACCCCTCGCACTTCGCCGGGGAGAGCGGCGTCCCC